CTCCCTCTCGGGCACAACCAGGAGTTGCTGGAGACAGGAGGTTGTACAGTTTGAGATTCCCTCCTGTGACATTTCGGGGGGTGGATATGTACGGCAGTCATCTTCCCAAACCCCAAATCAACACACCTATCTTGACCAAGCATTTTGGGGGTTTAAAATCTATCTCACAAGTTTTTAATAAAATAGAAATAAAACTCCATTTTTAATTAAATTGAAAAAATCACTTGAATTAGAACGAGTAAAATGGTACAACACTAAGAGTGCTTGAAAATCTGTGGCATGGATATTTTTATTATTTTTAAAAATGTGTTTTTATTGACTTTAGAGGGAAAGGAAAGGAGAGGGAGAGAGAGAGAGGGAAACATCAATGAGAGAGAACCATCAATTGGCTGCCTCATGCACGCCCCCTACTGGGAATTGAGCCTGAAACTGGGACATGTGCCCTGGCTGGGAATATAACTGGAAACCTCTCTGCAGGGGAGGACCCCCGACAACTCAGCCATACTGGCTGGGGATGCGGAATGGATTATTAACTTCAAATTCTTGTAATGCTCTTTGGTCCTTCAGAAAACGATAAGGAAATAGTAGTGGCTGCTTCCATCCTTGAAATGTCCAAGACTGCTTTCGAGTTATCCAACTTCATTTTCTCAGTTTCAATTTAAGAGTCAAAAAGTGGACTAAAGGAAGACTTATCATTCATAATACGCATTCTTTTTCCAACCAGAAGGAGGCAATGATAGAACATGAAGCTCTTCTACTATTGGAAAGAGAAAAAATTTAAACAATTTTACAGTGGTTCAGCACTTATTAAGAAGCCCAGAGCATTTTGCCCTAGGCTGCCTCTCTTTGGAATTTAAAACCTGTGTACTACACTGTTGGAGAAATTCAGCTAATACACCACACATCAGTTTGCATTTAACTCATTGCAGTGTTGACTACTAAGAACACTTAACATGACCAACAAAATATTTCAAATGATCATATGAAATCTAAATGAGGAGCTTGAATTGGGTCAATATTAAACAGATGTGAAATCCCAGATACCCTTTGCAATTTAGAAGGTAAAATTACTTAGCACAACCACGTTGGGCAAGGGTTTTGAATCTCAGAGTAGTGACCAGGACCCACAAAACAGTCATGTAGGAAAAAAGTGAGGTTTAGAGTTGGGGAAAATATCCCAGTACCAGCTCTGACTCTACAACCTTGACGATCCACTTTCTCTCATGTATGTGATGGGACAAATCATACTCTGTCACCACCTTATGGGTTATTTCTGTTACTTAATGCATATAAGGTTACTTGAAGATCAAAGTGCTAAATATTATTACTAATTAAAATAAGCAACTTCAAACCAAATGTAAAAGGAGAAGTAGCTTTGGAGAAGTGTAATTTTTATAATGGACAGATTGTCTAACAGGTAAAGAAAGACTCTCAGTGTTACGATTCACTTATTTATTCATTTAGAAAAAAATGATCGAAGAAATCTGAGAAATGACATAATCAGGATGGCTATGTGCCTATTCTTCCATTTTTAAAAAAATCCTCAGACACTTCTGACTTCAAAAAAAAATGCAACAAAGGAAAAGTAAAAAAGAAGAAAAATGTCATTCTGATTTATAACCATTTGTAGTCTGGGTGTGCCTTGAACTTTGCATTTAAAAAGAAAGCGTGTTTCTGATTTTCTACCAATCCCCGTCCTTAGCTCACCACTTCCAAAAATACCTCTCTCCTTGAAAGCAAATAATAAGTGAGGAGGAATTGGTTTATAGATGCTGAAGTCTCTCCCTCAAAATGACACTGGTTTAATTCAAACAGGACAAAATGAGTGCCTGAGAAGGAGTGAGATTTTAAGGCTTGGGCACTAAGTGGAAGCATCATTTCCTGGTCCACACCTTCTTCTGTCATTGTTGGCTGGGACTTTGCCTGGCACTGTAGCTTTCCCATCACCAGTAGTTAAAGTGCCATGCTGTCACCATCCTTTGTTTTCTTCCATAAAGACATTGGAAAATTAGAGGATGGGTGGAGTAAACATATATTATGCATAAGAATACTATTCTTTTGCTAACAATGTATGCTAGCTGTAGGGAAAATATTTTTCGATAGGGTATATGTTCATTTTTCTAAGTTCTGAAAGTCTTCTCTAAAAGTTTAGTCCATGGGATGCAAATCCAAAACTCATCATGGGCTAAACTGATGATAAAAAATGAAAGAATCAGATTTTTCAGACACTGGGGAGTGGTGAGGACTGTGTCACTGGTGGGGGCCACACTCAAGTCCACCATGGTATATATAATTCTGGGGCACCCCAGTCATGTCATATTGTATGCGAATGGTGCCCTCTAGTGTGGAGCAGTGCATGCCCTACCCATTCATCCATTCAGTACATCTTCCTTGAACTTGCTGTGTGCCAGGCATGGTTTTAACTGCTGGGCAGCAGCAATGGACAAAACAAACAGGGATACCTGGTCTCAAAGAACCTAAAGCATTCTCATTCAGTTATTTTTTAAAAGGCTAAAAGCACCACACAAACCAAATAAAATGCATCTGCATGCAGAATTTGGTCCACCAATTCATGACCCTGCTCTATCTAGTCTTTAAAATCATTTCTGTGATCTTGCAGATTTTAGATGCAGGGACAAAACCCAGAAATGTACTAACTGAAGGTTAGCACCCACTACTTAGCTCACATTTAATGAGGGCTCTGCATACATAGACAAGTCAGCTAATTCATTTTTAATTACAATTCTATATCCCCACTCCAGAGTGTATACTTGCCACTCTTTCTTCCAAGAAAACACAATTCCTAGAGGTGATCTGTGAGGTAAGTGAGGAAGGAAAACCAGAATGTCATGAGATGCGGTCATGACATTCTGCCAAAGCATTGTCCGCCTGAATACCTGTGGGTCCTGGAGACCAATGGAAGAGGCAGGCCACTGAGCAGTGGTCAGTGTGGCTCTTGAACCAATTTAAAGTCTGCTCCTAACTGCCTACGAATTTAATTAATTTTTTTTTCAAGCAAAAAGGTAGATTCCCTTAAAGTGTCAGGTCTCTTAGGATTTGTGCTAACAGAAGCAGGGGAAGTGCAGAACGCAAAGAGCTTTCTTATAAAGAATTTATTTCTCAGCCACATGGCATCTTAATGCCATTTGATGGAAAGTTTTAATTTAATCTGCATATAGTCAAAATGGAACTAAAAGGAGATCTGGTCACACCTAGCTTGCTTTCATGTCTGGAAGATTTTTTTTTAATTTTTTTCTTTCATTTTTTTGCATTGGAAGCTTCTGTAAAACTGAAAAGAATACTTGTATAAATTTTCAGCAAGAAACTTTAGAGAAATGGTACTCAGAGAGTTGAAAAGTTTTCTGTCTGATAACTCACTCTGAATTTTGTTAAATAAAATCCTGATTGAAGAATATTTAAGGAACCTAGGTCACAGATCTAATGAGAGACAGCCATAGCATATAGGTATAAAGACCAAATTTAAGCATTCCCATCTTCCAATAAATAGAGCAAAGATCATCTATTCTTCCTCTTCTCTACCTGTCTTCCAGTATCCCTTCTTTCTAGCCCCTCTCATAAATGAGTAATAATAGCAGTCACAACAATAATCAGAGGAGAGAGTGTTAACTTATCAAATCTACACATTATAGTCAATTACTTTTCCCAAAGCATGAAAGCATTTCCTGAAAACTGTCAGAGGTATTAAATTTTTTTTTCTGTCTCTCTCTTTAAATCACAAAGCAAAATTCCACTGTCCCTCCCCCCACC